CCATAATGAGAGAGAGCGAGAAAGAGAGAGAGAGAGAGAGAGAGAGTTTACCGTCCAATCGACACAAACTAAGTCATTTCGGGACTAAGATACACTAATCTGTACACGGGACCTCGGTAGTTCGTACCATCCGAATGACTAGGCACTGACCATTGCTTGACAGGCCCTCAGTCCAACACCACTGACACCAGGAAACCAAATCGCAAAACCCCGAGGAGCTTTCGCGGCCAACACCGGGAAAGAACCGAAGATCTGGTTAGCGAACAAACGTTTTCGCACTGATACAAATGTAAAAAAGAAAACATTATAGTAAAGACTTCCGGGTTATAAATGTAGGCGTAGCCTGTAGACTATGGAAAACCAAACAGCTCTTTATTCAGTGTTCTTAATTCTTAGTTCTTAATTCATAGTCCTTAATTCTTATTTCATTATTTGTTGTCATATTTCGGCATCTGTATCCCAAAATTGACAGCTGTATCTTAAAATCAATATTTGTTTTACAAATCAGATATTTGTCATATCAAATTTGTAATTGTTTCTTTGTTTAATTTATTTGTATTTTAATATAATGATAAAATTTCTTTTAGAAAATCAAAAAAAAAAAAAAATACATTTACATTTCATTAGAAACATACAACGAAATACAAATCTCAAGCAACAAACTTCCAAATACAAATCTCCAAATACCAATCTTGTGGAAAACATTTCTCCAAATTCATCTAACCTGAATATTATGACGACAGAGGACGCTAGTGGTGGGTGGTCAAACGATAAAACAGTAGCTATATTATACGGGTCTTTGATAATATAATTCTTCCTTATAATTTAAAGATATATATAATAATTATTAAACTCTTTATATAATTCTAATTTTAAACAATGTACTTATAATTTCGTATGGAAGATGAACTATACTAAAATTATTTCAGATTGATAGAAAGACGTATATTGTCATTATTTTAATAAACGTTGCATTGGTTGTTTTAATAACCATGCATGTCGTGTAAAAATTTCTTTTGTGCTTTGAGTAGAGTATTTTCAATTAAATTCATCAGCATTTTATACTAAAATATAATAGAGGTATATAAAAAAAACCCGTATATCGACATTATTTTAATAAATGTTGCATTGGATACAATCTATCTGATGAAATATTGCCCTACAGGTGTTTACTAACACTATTTATGCAATTAACAGAACACAATGTTTACATATTAATATAAAAAGAGTTAAGGAATCTGAAAACAAGCCGTGGGTTATACAAATTCATCTCCTCTATAAGAAATTATTTACATAATTATAAGTAGTTTAGAATTATAATTATATAAAGTTTTAATTAATTACACAGAAAAATATTATACATATACATTGTTTAATAATTCTTGTAATTATTAATTATATAAAGCTTTAAAGCACAATATTGGTGTCAGCCATTATCATGTATGTGATAGAACTAGTTATACGCATTCCAGATATAATTTTAACGCAGAGATCATTGCTACGATAGATGCGAAGAAACGGAAGTGACGCAAAAACTGAAAAACAAGAGTTATCCTTCTATATAACTGACTAAATAACGACCGATAACAGATAAACAGGCGAGTTTCCGCTCATTGATAATTCCTTTGAAGACTAAAAGTTGTTATATGAGTCGGTGAGAGGATATCTGACAATTCATAAAAAGAATTGACTGTCACTAGATTAAATTATATTTAGAGCGTATTTAAAGGACAATATTGGTGTCAGTCATAATTACATATGTGATAGAACTGGTTAAATACAATCCAAATATAATTTTAACACAGAGATCATTGCTACAGGAGATGTGTAACAAGCACGTGAAGAAACGGGAAGTGACGCCAAACATGACAAACACGAGTTATCCTTCTATGTATCTGACTGATATAACGAGCGATAACATACAAACGATCGAATTTCATTTCACTGATAATTCCGTTGAAGTTGAAAAGTTATTATATGGGACGGTGAGAGGGTATTGCACAATTCAAAAATAGAATTGGCTGTCACTAGATAAGGGAAAACGAGAAGAATAGAAAAATCCCGTGCATTCCCCCGTTTTTATTCATTCTGCTCTTAATAAAAACATGGTAATGCACGGACTTTTTCTAATTTGTTCGTTATCTTTTATCTAATGACAGCCAATTCTTTTTTTGAATTGTCAGATATCCTCTCACCGTCTCATATAATAGCTTTTCATCTTCAACCGAATTATCAGTGAAATGAAATTCGGTCGCGTGTCTGTTATCGCTCGTTGCTTCAATCAGTTATATAGTAGGATAACTCGTGTTTGTCATGTTTGTCGTCACTTCCCGTTTCTTCACGTGCTTGTTACACATCTCCCGTAGCAATGATCTCTGTGTTAAAGTTATATCGCATATTTTATAATGACTGACACCAATATTGTCCTTTAACCAGTTCTATTATACATGTGATAATGGCTGACAACAATATTGTCCTTTAAGCACGGCGTACATCAACACGGTGACAGGAAGTAACGCAACTGGTCGGTTGCATCGCTCTACGTGTTCGGCGTACATCGACACTTTGGCAACTGGTTGGTTGCTTAATACATCGACATCAGTGAAACAGAAAAACAGTTCATGTGATTTTTTTTTCTTCAAAATGGCTGCCCAAGTTATCAGCTTTTAGAAAATATCAATTTTGTCCATATGTTGAGCCGTACGAGCAGTTGGTGGGTTTCAAAACGCACACGTGTAAACCGACAAAACCGGCAACTGGTCGTATCCTCTCAGTTGCTGTCAGTTGCCGGCAAGTTGTCTCCAGTCGAAAGGCGGGGGGGGGGGGGCGAATAGTTAGCGTGTGCACGCTGCATCATAAGGTCTTTCATTGAGTCAACTGGCGTGGTTTCGATTCCCCGATTGTACGTGACAAGGAGTTGGGTCGCATGTCCAACCTCGTGGATTTTCTCCGGGTCCTTCGACTTCCCCTCACTACTAAAGACCCATGCACGCAAGCTAGTTAATGAAATTAAATTCAACCATATGTTAGTCCCGAAATTACCTAGTTTGTGTCGAGTGGACGTTAAACACCATTTCTCTCCCTCTCTCTCTAGTTGAAAGAGCCGATGTACGCCATGCATTAAATTGCAAGGAAAACTATATTTATCAAAATTCTGAAAATAAGCCCGAGTTTATATAAATTCAAATATTAAGATACAAATTTTAAATTTGTATAGGCCTACATATCGAAATACGAAATTTTAATGAAGAAATAAGAATAAAGAACTATGAATTAAGAACTAAGAAGTAAGAACGCTGAATAAAGCGTTGTTTGGTCTTCCATAGTAGACTGCTAACGAGAAATATACGACCTCATAATGAGTTTATTTTCTTTATAAAACAATTAAACTTGTAAAAATGTATTGATACCGAAATTAACCTACCCAAAAGATTTTTCAAACGACAAAAAAAAATATCTATAATTAAATCGATTTGTCAGGGCCTTAAAATCACCCAACGTTAAATATTCCTTAGTTCTGTGAACAGCAATTGTGACTTTCACTGGATGCAGGGTGTATTCTGAGTACAAAAAATATACGATCTTCATGACAAATAAAAGTCAATTTCTGCTTTCGGATTGTCTGGAAAACCCCGCGTTTTTTTGTTTTTTTTACTCTTGCAACGTCATTTTTATTGTTAAAATACTAAACGACAATTTTACCCGAAACGAAATTATGACAAGTCGAAGAACTCTTTGGAACTCGCTGAATAATTTTGATAAAAAAGCCCGAGCTTTTAACTTTTGTGAAGTTGCTTTTATTCTAAAAACAAAATTGAATGTTTTTTTGTGCCCCCATCCTCGCCAAACCCCCAACAGCATGATATTAAGTTCCCATGAATGTTTTAGTTAAACTCTTAACGTGAAAAAACATTATTTTCCTATCGATATCAGTTGTTAATTAACACAAAAGTGTTTTTCTTCGTATTTTCCACAACAGTCAGAATCCCCCAACATTGGCGTGCACGCAAAAGAACCTCTGGTAGTTCGAATTTAACAAAGAGTAGGCGAAAACACCGCTGATCGGAAAATCCTTCACCCATAGCAATATAGGCCTAAGTTGCTGTAGAATAGTAGGAAAACGCGTTTCGGGCTTTTCAGGGCAGCACCGACAATGGGAACCCATCCTGAAAAATGCGTGGTGCTGGACGGAGGACATGGGAAGCCTCTAGCTGCTCGGAAGTTCCATGGACACGGGCTTGCAGTAAAAGAACCCTTGATGTTAAACACCATTTCATTTCATTGGGTTACTCACTGAGTAACCGTTGCTCGATTTTCCATACAGCCAGAGCTGCATAACGAATAGAAATATTAGATCAATTTGTAGGATACGCGAATTATTGAAATAAACATATATTACTCCCGAAATTACCAAACAGTGCCGTCAGCGATCCCTTGAAAACTTGACAGAAAAGCCGCTATTCAAACAAAATTCTAAACACAGAAAATATATGAAGGCGATGTTTCCGAGAATACTTTCCAATACATATATTCATTCATTAAAATAAATTAGCGCCCAGGCTATTCCCCGAATTATATGGCATATTTGATTGGTGTCAAGCGAAGCAATTGGAATTTGTGTTTAGCAGTATGGCACCCTCATAGGAAAAGAGCACTTTTTCATTGACAGATTTACAGTTATTCTTTTGCATCCTCCTTTTTTCTGAAAGCGTCCGGATCAGTGAGTCCAAATTACAGAATAAGGGGAATAACTCCGTTATTCTGTGCTAGATTATCCCCCCTTTTCACGCAGGTTGGGGTCAATTTCTATAGCAACCAAACTATTAATGGAAAAAAGGCAAAATATGTGCAGTAAAGTAATGAAGAGCAGTACAGTCCCAAAAATTAAATCTTTTTATTAAAAGGTATCCCAAATTACTGCTATTATGTTGACGTATAACTATGGAAGCGCCGGTGAAAGATGCCAACTCGTCTTCCGGTTAGAAACTAGTCGGCCATGTTTAAACAATATGGCGGATATCTGTTCGTCTGAGAAAGAATTTTTTCCCGAAAACCCGTTTCAAAACAGACACATATAGATTTAAAAACTAACTTAAAAATATTGGAATAGTTGATGGAACAGACAGACATTTTAAGCTCCAGGTAATACTATTTACCATATAAAATGAGTTATCTATAATTGGATTTGGAACCCTTCAATTATTTTGTTTTTTTGTCATAAAAATGTTTTTTTTTGTTTTTTTTCGGTAACCTAGCCTAGTCACTTTTTTTTTTTTTTGATCGATCGATTATTTATCGCATTGTTGTGTAGCTTGTCTTGCCCGTTGTCATTCTGATGACATTTCATTCTTGGTTCAATTTATTTTGATGTAGGCATAATGACGATGATACTAGCAACCAAGGAATGTGTCAAATAATTAGGCCTATTCAAATAGTACAAAACAACATGTTTTTGATGAAAAAAATCCACACCACACTTCAATTCCCCAATTAATGGAAATAAGTGCTTGTGATATTTTAACATTTTTTCATAATTTTATTTATTTCATTTGTGCTTTTTCCAAATAGCAGAGATCTACCGGTATCGATAGAATACAGTATAGGGTCTATTCTATCAACAATTTTTTTTCAATTCTTCATGTGTGTTATGTAGTTGATAGTGATAATATGATTTGTTAGAGTTTAAATGTGTGCATAGTCGTTCGAGTGACACGAAAACTCAAGGTCGAAGAACAGTATGCTACCAGTAGGCTGCTGCTCCTGAGGTAAAATTCACACTACCCATGTTGACATCTTGATGCAGAACCATGATGGTTCAGTGAGTAACAGATTCAGTCGCTAAGCTGGAGGTCCCATGTTCGATCCTGATGTCTTCTGAGAAAGTTCATCAGGATTTTTCCGGTGTGTTTCCCCTTAGAGGGGCCTGACTAGGGATAACATATAGTCGTTGAGATGGTACGAGCCAACGTCTATTTATGGGATCTACATGGATGTTGTGTTTTGAAGTTAAGATTGTGACCTAAATATGTGTAATGATTACAGCTTTAAATATGTATGTGATGCATACGCTAATATCGTGACCGTATTTAACAGTTATATTTGTAGATTAAATGAAATGAAATGAAATGGAGTTTAACGTCCTACTGTTCTGCTCCTAACTGTCTTTGAAATACTATATAGGTAAAAATAAACTTATTGGGAGTTAACAGCCTCTACTATGATCCTGTGTACATGTTGGCGTAGAGTAATCTGTAGTAACGCCACTATCCAGGCAAAATTTCCATCCGTCATAGCACAATGTATGGCATCTGCCCGTTTTCATTAGCTTAGTTGGTGCAGAAAATTAGGAAATTAAACCATATTTCATAATCAAACAAACACAAAGTAAGAAAATACAATAAAATTATAAATTCGACATTTACAAAGTAAACCTTGACACAAGACCAAATAAAAAAAATATTGGAAGAGTTTCCACCCAAATTGAGGTTTGTCTTCAAAATATGGCTTATTTCCCACCATAAAACACTATTTTTGTTCACTTATCATCAACTAATTACATTTTTCACCTAATTGTATACTTTGGCGTGGAATTGCCCTAAGGGCAAAATTTCCTTCACTGCACACTGTATGGCATATGCCCGTCTTCATTGGCCCAGTTGGAGCAGAACAGTAGGACATTTACACTCATTTCATTGCTATCCCGTGATGTATATATACCAGTGACATTATGTTAAAGATCTTCTGACAGTTAGAGATCAAGCTAAGATTAGGCCATAGCGCTGCTGTCAGCATACTAAACTTACGCTGTCTATTTACAATTAACTCCTCTTGAGAACAGATACTAAGCTAGAAGTAGACCTACATTTTTAGTCCTAATTAATAAACGATTAAGTCAAAAACATTAAGTACACTTCGAGAATTTTGAGAAGTATTTATTCCGCTTCCATTTAATACAATAGAAACGGTTTATTTATTTGGCCATGGCGGAGTAGAACCCCATTACAAAACAGTATACTAAATTTTGGATATGGCGTCCATTCAGAGCAGAGATCTATTCTCGAAGTAGATATATCTCTGTGTGCAAAATGAACTCTGTCCATAGTAGGGGGGTTGGATGGCCGAATGGTTAGCATGTACACGCTGTATCATAAGGTCTGTCATTGATTGAACTGGCGTAATTTCGATTCCCTGGTTGTACGTGACAAGGAGTTGGGTCGCCTGTCCAACCTCGTGGGTTTTCTCCAGGTCCTCCGGTTTCCTCCCACTGCTAAAGACCCCTACCCACATGTGAATTATTGAAATAAGATTGAACAATATGTTAGTCCCGAAATGACCTAGTTTGTGTCAAGTGAAGGTTAAACCACATCTCTCTCTCTCTCTGTTTTAATTAAAAAATGGTTCAGCATAAATCATAGGCTCTCTCTCTCTCTCTCTCTCTGTTTTAATTCAAAAATAGTTCAGCATAAATCATAGGCTCGCTCTCTCTCTCTCTCTCTCTCTCTCTCTCTACACTGTCTTCATTGGTCTGCTTGGTGCAGAAAAGTAAACCTTTAAACCTGATTTCATGACATTTCATTTCAATGCACACAGATGACTATCACGATAATTTGAACATATCAGTTGACTCTGTTGTTGATTCCTAGATAACTGGACATTTAATCTTAGTTGTCATTAAAAATACATAAAACTTGTACCAACTTCTATACGTTTATTGATTTATCGAACCTCTTCTTACACATGTTAACTATTTAATCTCATTTCCTAATAGGTCTGTATCACACAACATTTGGAACAAGACAGCTAATCAAACTATTAATCCGTGATTGAATCGCAATGCAAATTGGAGAATTTGGAAAATGCTATACTCATAGATATTGTCGGTAAGTTTTTTTTTTAAAAGTTAATTTCGAAAACATTATAGTTTTTTTCTTTCCTCCAATATGCCAAGAGAAATAATGTATGTGATGCCCTACCCTCTTTCAATTTATTTTTGATATTGAAAATTTAATTTTGGAATTACTCCTAGAATTCACTGGAAATGATCATATTCATTCACAGTTCTTAATATCTTGCACTATTTTTTATTGAATATTATTTAAATGAGATGTCTCAGTTTTGGCTGGATCTCTGCCATAATAGTTTATGAAATGCTAAATGTGTAGAAATACCCTATTTATCTCGTTTGAAAGTTTCAGTGTGTCCACCGTCAACTGTTCATTCAGTGACACGATTCTTTTATTCTGTTTGTAAACTTGCCAAAGGGTATAGCAATAGTCGGCAAAATTCTATTACTAGAAAAAAAAACTATGTACAGTACACTATAAAGTAAGCTTATAGTTTTCAATAGAGTGTCTCCACATGACAATTCAAACACACTTTGTTGAAGAATGAAATTCCTTAACTAAATGTGTTTTGTAACTAGCAAATCTAAATATTATTTCCAAATGCTTCAATATTTTGATTTGACATTTTCAGACAATCGTCACGTTTTGGCTATGATCATATATTTACTAGACTAGTCTTGATTGATTGACTGGGTGTGAAATAAACCAATGGAAGAACTTTACTGTCTTGTCATGAAATAGAATTTCAAAGAATACTGCTGCAGAATACAATAAATACAATTAAATTTATACAAAAATTGGGATAGTGCTAGAAACTGTCAAATTCTATGGAAAAAATATTGTGCTAGTCCAAAACTAAACGCGTTAAAAGTTGAAAGACTTGGTTATATATTTTTATTTATTTTTTTCCTACATTTTATCCAGATTATCACCTTTATTGTTCAAATTGTTTGACGTTCTATAACTCATGATGTCAACTGGCAGACTATCCCCATTGATGAGACACATTATTTCTGTTACTTCTTTCTTGTAAATCTTTTTTTTTAATTTTGAGAGTAGCCTGTACCATTACAGCCCCAGGACTTTTGACCGGTATATTTATTAAAGCAGTGTTTCTCAACCTTTTCTTGCCAACGACACACATTGGAACACATGAAAAAATAGCTGCACACCTGGCTAAATGTATATGAAAAATATTTGAATTTTGCAAAATAAAAACATGGCAAGTCATAGATGGCATACAACCGTAGACACAAACTAGTCATAGCCACATAGAATGACTCAAATGAAATAAAGAAAAACACAGTTATAAACTTGTTTTATTGCAGTGTTTTGAATTTCATCAGTCAAATAGCTGGCTTCTTTAGTGAGAAATTTTCATAGTGTGCCGTTCAAATTTTGCGGCACACTTAGGAAGATGGTTGAGAATCACTGGTAGCTTGCGAGGGATTTCTATAGCGCTAAAATCACGCTGAGAGTTTTTAATCAAAACTTGATTTTTTATAGGATTACATAATTATCGTGGATCTAACAATAGGAAAATAGACCATGGATAAGAAAGAAACAGACAGTAATTATAGTAGTTCAGATTCCGACAGTGATGTGGAAGAAACCGTGGATGTTAATTCAGAACTAGAAACCAGTACGCAAGCTTTAACTTTAGTAGATGATGAGGCTCCCCTATTAATACAACCATTGGAAGATGAGGGGGAAGGTGAAGGGGATCAGGGGGGTACATATGGGGGTAAGTATCATCATTTTTCAGTAGATTTCTTCTGTAATGTATAATATAATAATACGAGCAATAATGACATTAGATCTACCTTACAAACTGTCAATTACTAGAATAGGGCATTGACAGAGATCCAGGGTTTCCGGCGTGGGTAAGACGCTGGTTCGCTAGCCTGGAGGTCTGGTGTTTGATCCCTGCATTGGCCGAGAAAGTTCATCCAGATTTTCCGGTGTGGTTCTCCCTTGCCAGTGATGCAGGACGGAGGGCCTGACAAGGACAGTTGTCTAGTCTCTCGGATGGGACGGAAAACCGAGGTCCTGTGTACACATTGGCGTGCATGTAAATGATCCCTTGGCAGTCGAAATTTGATATAAGAGAAGGCCATAGTGCAAAATTTCCCTCACAGTGCATGTTTTTTTAGTAGTCGGCGGACCCAGAGAAAACTCCCGATGTTGGACTGACAGCCCTACTCCTTGTCATGTTCAAGTAGGGAATCGAAACCACACCTCTTGACTCAATGACAGACCTTTTGATTTTTCATGTGCACGTTGAACCACAAGATCACCGAACCCTCACCACCCAACCGCCCTCACAAATCTGTGCCAGGAAAGATGACAGGCACGAGAAGGATTTGACGATTTCCAAATTTATACAATATCCGGGAGCCATGGTGGCCCAGTGAGTAGGATGTTGACTCGCTAACCTGGAGGTCCCATTTTCGATCCATGCATTGGCCAAGAAAGTTCATAGGGATTTTCTGTCATGTTTCCTCCTTGTCAGTGGTGTAGGATGATACAAAAAACAAGGTCCTGTGTCAGATTGACATGCACATAAAAGAACCCTTGACTTTTCATTTATACAGTATCATTATTCAGTAGATTGTGAAAATTGGTATTTAATAATTGTTTTAAAAATGATAAAAGGACATATTTTATGGTATGTTATAGATTATAAAAATCCATATTTAATGTTATTTTATAGATTATAAAAATCCATATTTAATGTTATTTTATAGATTATTTAGATGTATATTTAACGTTATTTTATAGATTATTTAGATGTATATTTAACGTTATTTTATAGATAATTTAGATGTATAATTAACGTTATTTCTAAATTATAAGGATTCCAATTGATTTTATAGGTTATAAAATTCATATTTACTGTTATAAATTTTTTGACGTTGTTCCCTCTTGTCAGTGGTGCAGGACGGCATTTCTTAGGGAAAACATACAGTACACATTGGCGTGCACATAAAAGAATACTTGGCAGATGGAACTTGAAGTAAGACTAAGCAGATGCACGACTGTTTGGGCAAAATTTCCCTCATAGGGCACTACACGGCGAATCCCTGTCTTTATAAGCCCATTTGGTGTGGAACATTAGGACGTTAAACCCCATTTCATTTTTAAGATCCCTATTTAAATTGAACGCTATTTTCTAGATTATAAACGTCAGTATGAATACGAGGGAGAAGGGGAAGAAGAAACAATCGATAGAATAGATTCAAGTCAAACAACAGACACAGTGTTAAGTAAAGATGGCGAAAAGAAGAAAAAAAAGAAAAAGAAGAAAAAGTAAGATTGATTTAAATTAATAAATTGCATGTTTTTAATTTGATTAAATTTCTGTGAGAGACTTTTATAAATTTTCGGTCGCCCAAATATAAGGAGTGGCACTGGTCCCATGTTCCCCCATATTCCTGAAGCAATGGCCAAAGAAATCCCTCTTCAATCAAATCTATCCAAAAGTACAGCAACATGACAGCCCTTCGTTTTAATCAGGGGTCTTCCCTAAAACTTTGGACAGTGATTTAAGGTATTAAAAACTGTGAAAGTGTTGTTCGTCTCAAAACAATATTGTTTACATTATATGCACAGAGTAAAAATTGTGTTGACAGTTGATAGCCTTGTTTGTCACACAATTAGTTTTTCTGCAATATTCTGCTATGCACTGGTTAATTGGGCATAATAAAATCGGGAGTCATGACATAACGTTATGTAAACATATTTGGTCCTATTTGGAGCTCTGTTTGGTATTGTTACGCAGTTAGCTATTGGTTGTTAATCGGACTATTTAGTATTGACCAGTCATAATTTAGAACAAGAAATTGCTTTGTTTACAGCAGTGAGTAGTGGGATTAGCTCTAATCAAACGAAACACTGTGAGGAGTATGATGTTCCCCAGGCCTTTAAGCCATTGACAATTGCTATGACAAAGAGATGTTTTGTTTGGTTGTTGGTGTGTATGATGCTTTCTCCAGAAGACCCCAGTACACCAAGGAAAATAGTCCCTATCCCCAGTGAGCTAAAGATTCTGTAACAGCAACAGGTTTAGTGAGGTAAATCAGCTGGGGGTAGGGGACGAGGGGGGCATTGTATACCTCTATGCGGTTCTAGCAGGAAAAGAAGTGCCAGAATGTTTTTGAGATTTTTAATCCGTTTTGCTGTTAGAATTGTTTATCGGTAAAAGAATCCTGTCGGCAAAACAGGTTCAAAATTGCAAAAGTTTTGAGGGTCTTGTTGACTATAGAAAAGGAGGTGGATGTCCTCAGTTGGGGCAAAATTTCCTCATAGCACTCTGCATGGTGTATGCCCTGTCTCCATCCACATAGCACACTGCATGGTGTATGCCCGTCTTCATTTACCTCATAGCAGACTGCATGGTGTATGACTGACTTTATTACCCTCACAGCACACTGCATGGTGTATGGCCATCTTCATTACCCTCAAAACACAATTTTAATTTTTATACGGCATAATGATATTTCCTCCACTGATTGACTTCAACTAATGGTCTCTTGACACTCTCCAAATCAATTTCATTCATGTTTGTCTTTGGTCAATATCGTAACTCCTGTTGACTATTATTGATAAGATAACATTAAAAATACATTACCACGAAACAATTTATAGGATAGTTATTTCCAATAAAAGTATGGCATATTTGGTATATATATTGTCTACATGTATAAGGATAGTAGGGAGATTAGTTTGAATTTGTTTTTCGGTTTAATAATATCATCAAATCACACAGTTTATATGTGGGGATGCATATTTAATTCCTATCAGCCATTAAGAATAAGTTAACATTATAACTGAATGATATGGTTAACTAAATTTAATCAGAGGTAATAGTCTAACTTATTGATCGTTGTTTATTCTCCAGACATTTACTGGTTGTAAGGTTATTATGTCACAGGAAAGTTGTAAAGTTATTATGTCACAAGTGGGTTGTAAGGTTATTATGGCATGGGAGGGTTGTAAGGTTATTTCACAGGGGGTTGTAAGGTTATTATGTCACAGGGGAGTTGTAAAGTTATTATGTCACAGGGGGGTTGTAAGGTTATTATGTCACAAGGGGGTTGTGGGGTTATTATGCCACTGGGGGGAGGTTGGTAAGGTTTTTATGTCACAGGAGGGTTGTAAGGTTATTATATCACAAGAATGTTGTAGGGTTATTATATCACAAGGGGGTGTAAGGTTATTATGAGGGTTGTAAGGTTATTATATCACAAGGATGTTGTAGGGTTATTATATCACAAGGGGTTGTAAGGTTATTATGAGGGTTGTAAGGTTATTATATCACAGCCGTGACAGGAGGGTTGTAAGGTTATTACAAATGTATATCACAGAAGGGTTGTAAGGTTATTATATCACAAGGGGTTTATAAGGTTATTATATCACAGGGGGTTTATAAGTTTATTATATCACAGGAGGGTTGTAAGGTTATATCCCAGGGGGGTTGGTAAGGTTATTATATAACGGGGTGGGGGGGTTGTAAGGTTATGTCATGGGAGGGTTGTAAGGTTATTATATCACAGTGTGGGGTGGGGAGGTAAGTGGCCAAACGATCACAAGGTCTGTCATTGATTTCAATTCTTGGCTTGCACACAACAAGGAATGGGATCGCCTGTCCAACCTCTTGGGTTTTCTCAGGGTCCTCAGGTTCCTCCCACAGCATTTTTTCTCATCCTCGCATCAAGGTAAAGAAAAAAAAAAATGACTGTTTCCTTTCATCATATCACTGAAGAAAATGAAATGGAGTTTTTAAGGTCCTACTTTTTCTGCTGAATTTGTGCTAATAAAAACGTACTAACGTCGTACAGTGTGCTATGAGGGAAATTTTGTCTGGATAACAGTGCTATGATCTACTCTTATATCAAATTCCAATTTAATTAAGCATAAGATAACATTTATAATGAATGATAGGTGAAATAATTCAAATGGTAAATTATCTTAATGAACAAAGAATAAAGTCAGTGTTGATAGTTTCTTTTTTAACCCGAGACGCTTTTTATTCTGATTCACAAAGATTAATTGAATGGTCTTTAATATGATTTTTCCACATGATTTCATTTGATTAGAATAAGCACTCCAGTCAGCAACAAAAGGTAATAGAATTATTCTTAATACAGCTTGCATAAATAGGTTACGTTTATTCAGTACAGTAATATCTTAATAGTGTTTGGATTTTTGTCATTCACTTATTGTATAATAAAAGTTAAAGGGAAAAAAAATAAAGACTATTATTAATATTAAACGCCTACTTCCACTTTAGTAATGTCAAAGTTTTGTTAATGGCCGAAACTGATTTCAAATATTAGTTTAAAGCCACTGGTTTTGAATCACTTGCAAACTACAATATTGTGAAAGTTAATTTTCTTAAAGGAATATTAGTCCAAAATGGTTCAATTTCCTTCAATATTTATATAAAGATATGCGGTTTCCTCCCACAGCTAAAAGACCCTATGTGCAAGTGAATTATTGAAATAGAAATGAACCTTATGTTAGCCCCCAAATGACCTAGTTTGTGTGGAGTGAACTTAAACCCTCTCTCTCTCTCTCTCTCTCTCTCTCTCTCTCTCTCTCTCTCTCCCTCTCTCCCCCTCTCTCTCTCTATAAATATATAAAGATATGATAAATTGAAAATTTGTCAACATTAAACATTTCTGCAGTCGGTATATGCTTTAGATCAAAAGGTCTGTCCTTGAGTCAAGTTGGAGTAGAGTAGCTTGTCTGTCCTCGTGAGTTTTCTCTGGGTCCTCTGGTTTCCTCCCACTTCAGAAGACCTACATGTATGTGCAGGCGAATTCTTGAAATAAAATTTTGCTATATATATTATTAGTTATAATTAGTTCCTAAATGACTTGGTTTGTGTTGAGTGGACATTAAATCCTTGCTCTGCGTGATTTAGGCTGTTTTCGTTCAATATTTTGATTTGCTGTTTACAAATGCATAACTTCAAGTGTTCTATTCCTGTATTCTCTCTGGCCTTATTACCTGTTAAACAGGCATTATGCAAGAGATAAATCTGCCTATTGCAGGTCTTTCTTTAGGCCTGAAATGTTATCTAAATTATTAATTGGACATTAATTAACTTATTCAAACCATAACCAACCCTCGATGTCATCGCTAGCCTGCGATGTTTACTCGATTGGGTTCGGATTTCCTGTTCGACTTCCATTCATAATTTAATCAACAAATGGATAATCGAGACTATGATTTTTATCCTACCGACTTTAGTAATGATGATCGAGGCTAGTTCGAAAATTCAATCACTAAAATCTTGGTTCAGAGTGGATCAATTTGACTGAAATTTTCAGCAAATTCCATTTACATTATTTAGCTCTTTATCTAATCTTGCATAATGTATCTTTAAGTAATAAAAGTTTATTTGACGTTTATATTACTCATAACAGTTTAAAATATCCAGGACTTAAAGATACATTATGTAAGATGTAGATAAAGAGCTAGCCATTCTTGCTATAATAATTCGAAAATAGATAATGTAAAATGAATAATTTGAAAATTTCATTCAAATTACTCTATTGCGAGCGAAGATATTAGCCTTTGAAGGTTTGTCAAGACGTGTGCAATAATTTCAACCACCTACTGATTGTTCGAAGCTAAGGCTCGCTCCTCCATTTTTAGCTTAAATCAAAATATGGTTGAACCGTTCTAATCTATTTAATATCGGAGAAATCCGATGCCATCGAGAGTTGATTATGTCCTGGATAAGGTAATTAATGTCTAATTAATAATTATAAAAACATTTCAGGCCTAAAGAAAGACCTGCAATAAGCAGATTTAGCTCTTGCATAATGTATGTTTAATAAAAGTCAAGATCTTTAAATGAATGGTCCTGGTGTTGATCTTGTTCAATGCTTGTATATATAATAGATGGGTTGTATTCAATGGTTGTATATGATAGATAGGTTGGGTCGTATTCATTCAATGGTTGTATATAATAGATGGGTTGTTAATTAGGTGATATATATATGATGTTTGATTAGACGCACTTGAATATTGACATTTACATGATTTATTTGAAGTTTATCACAGTTTACCTGTTCAGGTGATGGTACTTAATGTACATGATAAGAGATCATAAATAAAAATCACAAAATTTAAACCATTGACTGTCTGACATTATTGATAAGGCACAGAAACATATCAAATTAAAGGGACTATCCCAATTATAATAGAGTCTCAGAAATAAAAGTACGTATGAAATTTAAGCGCCAAAATATAGAGGAATGGTGTTTTTATCTTGTCTTAAAATTTCAGCTCAAAATATTAAGTCGTTTGGACGTGAACGTCAAAACCGCTTATCTGGACACGTAACCCTTTTAAGATCTCAGGTCAATTTTTTCGTTGGGTGACCTGATAATCTATTGCCGATCGTTTAGAGGTCTATACTGATACAGTGCATGACCCATGTGCTGTACTTGATAACAAAAGGTAAATTTCACCTACACGTTTTTTTTATAAAATAAAAGTCTGATTTTATCCAGACACCGTATAATACAGCTTGGGACACCAGTCTCCATTTCCAGATGAAGACTGACAGGTTTAAGTTGTTTGAAAACATATCCATATATTGAGTTAGTTGCCTGGCTGTAAGGTAGAGGATTTTAAAGGCTTTAACACCAAAATAAACAGCTTTATTCTCCAAATAAATCGAGATTGACCCTTTAAATTCTTTTTGATAAGGCATAGAAACATAGCAAATTAAATTAAATTCTGTTTCAATGTTTTCATTTATAGAATGGTACCATGAATTCACGTGTGAGTGTGTGGTGCATATTGGAATCAGTAATAAAATCTTAGTATATATAATAATGATTTATTCTATTTGGTTGTTCAAACAGTTCTGATTATCAAAATGAGTTCCTTGGTTAGAATAATTAAAGAATTAAAAAGGCCATTAAAAAGACCATTGAGACAAAGCCTACACATCGTACCACATGCCCTAAAAGGTCGTAAGGACAAACTCTGTTTTATGAAATGAAATGAAACGGGCATACGCTATATAATATGAGGAAACTTTTGCCCAGACAGTGGCACTACAGCCTACTCTTATATTGAATTCCAACTGCCAAGCGACTGTAAAGGATAACGCTATTGACTTTCAGAGTCAAGATTTTTTTTTACACAGAGTTATTGTTCTTTGTCCCAGAAAACTTAATCCATATTCCTAATCTCGGTTTTTGAGATGGTTTTATATTTTCAATTGTCATAATACATCTGCATCTTCTGAGGTTGTTGCTTTCTCCCTTTACAAAGCTGCTGGTGGAAATTTTATGTTACTTAGAAACTCGTGCCTCATTTTTTTGTTCATATTGTTTTCTATTTCAATTTCAGATGGCTTCATATTTGTTTAACAAACTGTAAATATGACGTAGGTATGGTTACAATATTTTTCTACTTCTTATTCTCGTCAGTTGTGGGAAGGGGTGTTACATCTACTCCGGGAGCCCACCTTGACTCAGTGAGTAGGACGTTCGCTAGCTAACCAGGAATTCCCGAGTTCTGTCCCAGTGTTGGCTGAGAAAGTTCCTTGGCACTTTCCAGCATGGTCTCCTCTTCTCAGTGGGGGGGTTGGATGGCCAAATGGTTAGCATGTGCGCACTGCGCTGTATCATACGGTCTGTCATTGAGACAACTGGCGGGGTTTCGATTCCCCGGTTGTACGTTACAAGGAGTAGGGTCGCCTGTCCAACCTCGTGTGTTTTCTCCAGATCCTCCGGTTTCCTCCCACGGCTAAAGACCCCTATGCGCAAGAGAATTATTGAAATAAAATTGAATCATGTGTTAGTTCCGAAATGACCTAGTTTGTGTCGAGTGGACGTTAAACCCCATTTCTCTCTCCTCTTCTCAGTGGTGCAGAAAGGAGGGCCTGACAAGCAACTGTCTAGTCATTCAGAAGGGATAAAAAATAGAAGTCCTGTGTACATATTGGTGTGCACTTAAAAAAACACTTGACAGTTGGAATTCAAAATAAAATTCCCCACATAGCATGTACCCATCTTAATTAGTCCAGGCAGTGGAGAACAGTAGGATGTTAAACCCCATTTAATTTATATCTACTCTAGTGAGTCATGGAACTGGGTGTTATATCTACTCTTGTGAGTCAGGGGACTGGGTGTTATATACTACTCTAGTGATTCATGGAACTGGGTGTTATATCTACTCTAGTGATTCATGGAACTGGGTGTTATATACTACTCTAGTGATACATGGAACTGGGTGTTATATCTACTCTAGTGAATCATGGGACTGGGTGTTATATCTACTCTAGTGAATCATGGAACTGGGTGTTATATCTACTCTAGTGAGTCATGGAACTGGGTGTTATATCTACTATTGTGAGTCATGGTACTGGTTGTTATATCTACTCTAGTGAGTCATGGAACTGGGTGTTATATTTACTCTAGTGAGTCATGGAACTGGGTGTTATGTCTACTCTAGTGAATCATGGGACTGGGTGTTATATCTACTCTAGTGAGCCATGGAACTGGGTGTTATATCTACTCTAGTGATACATGGAACTGGGTGATATATCTACTCTAGTGAATCATGGGACTGGGTGTTTATTTACTTTAGTGAGTCAGGGGACTGGGTGTTATATCTACTCTAGTGAATCATGGAACTGGGTGATATATCTACTCTAGTGATTCGTGGGACTGGGTGTTATATCTACTCTAGTGATACATGGAACTGGGTGTTATATCTACTCTAGTGCGTCAGGGGACTGGGTGTTATATCTACTCTAGTGAATCATGGGACTGGGTGTTGTATTTACTTTAGTGAGTCATGGAATTGGGTGTTATATCTACTCTAGTGAATCATGGGACTGGGTGTTATATCTACTCTAGTGATTCATGGGACTGGGTGTTATATCTACTCTAGTGAGTCAGGGGACTGGGTGTTATTTCTACTCTAGTGAGTCAGGGGACTGGGTGTTATATCTACTCTAGTGATTCATGGAACTGGGTGTTATATACTACTCTAGTGAGTCATGGGACTGGGTGTTATATCTACTCTAGTGAATCATGGAACTGGGTGTTATATCTACTCTAGTGAATCATGGGACTGGGTGCTATATCTACTTTGGTCAGTCGTGAGACTTGGTGTTCTAGTTGTATGAAACATTACACTGAATATGTAGTTGTTGGACTGGGAGATCTACTGACTGGCCTAAACAAGTGTTTTCAATCCATAAAAACCTTTTTGCTAGTCCAGAACGTCAATTTAAGGAGTCTGCCGGTTGTCCAAGAAAAAAAACGGGGCGGCAAATGAAGCTAGCCTATTATTCAGTAGCTGATATCAGAGTCGTATTACAAACAGTGGGGATCATCTTGCTAGATGTTGATTAGAATGAATGTTAATAACTCGCACATGATAGTTGATACATAGTTTCAGGTGCCTCCTGACCCCCGGCTATTGAGTACTAGGTTAATGTAGTATTTCTGTATAGCGAAACACATTTTTAGAATTTCCTGACAAGGACAGCTGTCTAGTCTGGAACGAAAAACCGAGGTCCAGTGTACACATTGCACGTAAAAGATCCCTTGACAGTTGGAATTCAATATAAGAGTAGGCTGTAGTGCCGCTGTCCCGGCACAATTTCCCTCATAGCACAGAGTATGGTGTATGCCTATCTTTATTAGCCCAGTTTGGAGCAGAACAGTTGGACGTTAAACCCCATTTCATTTCATTCATTCATTCATTCATTCATTCATTTTAAAATTTATCATCTATTCATTTATTTTAGAATTTCTAACTTGTCCAATAATAGTACCCTTCTCCATTATAATTTGATTTGTGTAAAATACGTGATGATGATGATATGATGTATAATTTGAAATGATGACGTACAATCTGATTAAAACACAGATCCTATTTCGTTTCGTTTTTTATAGTTCAAACCATTGTTACGACTTCTTGCCATGTGATGCACGGAACTGTGGGTAAACTACTAGATTGATTAATCAATATCTGACTTCATATGATCAAAAGTCGTTCATATGACCACTGACACGACTTTTTACTACAACTGGTCAGATCTTGTAGAAAACTCAACTCTTGTGCTACGAGCATACTGTCAGTGTGGAATAGTCCTATACAAATGTTCACATTATTATTATTATTATCTTCATGTAGTGTAGGCCATCGAAAGTATAAAAAAACGAAACGAAATATAGATCTGTAGTTTAATCAGATTGGATGATGTATAATTTATGACAATAATGATGATGCATAATTTGTGATGATGATGATGATGATGTATAATTTGTTTTTTAGTGCGAAAGATGAGTCGTAAGTTTGGTTTTAAAGAAGTATCAGAAGATGATTCTGATTGGACGTTATACTGGACAGATTATTCTGTAGCATTAGAACGAGTTATGGACATGAAAAAATACCAGGTAGTCTTTATCTTCGGCCATTAAAATTTCCTAGACACAATTATTATATTCACTACAAAACCATATGCTCCTGAGACCATTCTCTCAATTTAATAACACTTTTATTTATTACTATTTTCTGCACGTTCATTTTCTTGGTTTCGATTTGGTTGTTTTGTTTAGACTGTCTGCCAAATAAAGGGTGCGGTGGATGGCCAAATGGTTAGCGCATGTGCGTTATATCATATGGTCTGTCATTGAGTCAACTAGTATGGTTTCGATTCCCCAGACAAGGAGTAGGGTTGGCTATTAAACTTCATGGTTTTCTCTGGGTCCTCCAGTTTCCTCCCACTGCTAAAGACCCCTACGCACAAGCGAATTATTGAATTAAAATTGAACCATATTTTAGTCTCAAAATGACCTAGTTTGTGTTGAGTGGACGTTTAACCCTCTCTCTCTCTCTCTCTCTCTCTCTCTCTCTCTCTAAAAGTTGCATGCCTAGAAATTTGTGATAATCTCAGAACTTAATACATGTAACATATTCAAAGATTTTGTCAAGAAAAACCTTTTGTATTTGTCAAGCCCTAGTCCTGAGTTCACAAAGTATTCTCAGACTTAAGTTAAGAATTTACTCAAATTGGGTCGCCTTATCTAAACTAAAATATAACCATTTATAAAACTTTTGCTGTTTTAATTTATCAAATACATCTGTAAGAAACTATGTGCAAAGTTTTGTGATTCTGAATCAAAGATATTTCTCATAAACAATGATTGAAAGTTGGGTAACTTCTTCTCCCAAGCAATTCATACACATACATGTAGCCATAGAAATTAAATTTACTACATTGTCTCAAAATGACCAAAGTATTTTGTTGACCGTAGTTTGAACCCATGTTCTTTCCATTCCATTGTCTTTGTGATAAAGTTACTTCAGATTACTGAAGTTTTCTGCAGTGTTATTGTTGAGATTTTGTATTTTAAACAATTAAAAAATTTGGTTAAAAAATCTACAATTTTTTTTAAGATGTTAATTTTGATTTTCAAAAAGTTTAAAGGTTTTTGCGATGTAATATTTGTTTTCATTTCTCTTTTTCTTTCTTTTGTGTTTTTTCAGAAAATAAATCATTTCCCGGGAATGAATGAAATATGTCGGAAAGATTTGTTGAGTCGGAATCTGAATCGAATGTTTAAACTATATCCAAAAGAATACAATGTTTTCCCCAAAACATGGTGCCTTCCTGCAGAGTATGTATAAATTTATTCTTTCATTTCTTGAAGTGTAGGGATCCAAGTTGGCTCGCTAATCAGGAGGTCAGGGGTTCGATTCCCAGTGTTGGCAGAGAAAGTTTCCCCAGGATTTTCAGTGTGGTTTCCTCTGGTCAGTGGACAAGCATGGAGAACCTGGCAAGGAGAAGTGATCAATTGTTCAGATGATACATAGAACCCTTGGCATAGGAAATCGAAACTAGAACAGAACACCGCATGTCAAATTTCCATCTTCATTGGTCATTCCATTAATTTGGGTACCAAATTATACTAGAATTTCAAACTAATTTTTTAAAATATTTCCACAGGTGCTTTAATATATAAACTAATTCTTTAAACATTTCATATTTTTTTTTGTAGTCATGGTGATTTTCTTTCTTACACAAGACAAAAAAAGAATAAAACATATATTCTGAAACCGGAATCTGGTTGCCAAGGTAAAGGTATCTGGGTGACGAAAAATCCTAAAGAAGTAAAACCTCATGAACACCAAATATGTCAGGTCTACCTCAACAAGGTACAATTCTTATATCATATTCTTAAAGATACATATTTAAGAGATAAATCTGCCTATTGCAAGTTTTTGTTTTGGCTTCAAATATTATATAAACTATTATTTATTAATCAAATAACATACTATTTATGGATAACAATTACTATGGTTTATTTCACTGAGACGTTTCAACAAGATTTCACAAGTCGTTATCAAGCATATAACACAAAAAAATAATAATAAAATCTTGTTGAAACGTGCATGGCAGTGAAATAAACCATAGTAATTGTTATTCATAAATAGTGTGTTATTTGATTATGTTCCAATTACTAAATGCCATTTAAAGAATATTATTTATTAACATGACAAGACCATATTCAACTCTCTAGATAATCGGATGGCGCAGATCTAAACAGATTGAAATATGATTGATTTTTAATGATTTAATTTAAAAATGGAGAAATGAGACTGAGTCTCGGTTAATAAGTAGCATCGCTATGATAATAAAAAATCTATGTCATAACTTCAATCAGTGATAACTTTTCTCAGAATAAAGTAATTTGAATGAAATTTTCAATATATTAATTTTCAATTATCTATTATTGAACTATCATAGGAAGAACGGCCAGCTCCTTTATCTAAGTCTTATGTAATGCATCTTTAATATCTTCCCACTGACACTCTGTGATGTGATGATTTATTTTAATTGGAAGAAAATTACTCCAAGCCGTAAAATCTATTATAAAGGACTTGTCACATCACTTGATTGAGGGGAGGGCGAATTTTCAGCTTGTAAAATTTGGCGTTACCCTGTGCTTTGAAAATCTCAAGTTTTCATGGCTTATTTCATGATAAAATTTGATTTATTCATTTTGATTATTTAATATAATGCAATGTATTGATATTGATTATTTAACTTTTGTTTAAGAAAAATGCAAAATATCAATGGTAGATAATCTCTCGGTTTTAATTAAAAATAGTTCAGCAAAAATCATAGGTTATGCTGGCTTCTTTTGACAATATCGTTTGCAGTGGATGTCAAATGTTGACCGATTTGTAAAATGTGCCAAGGAGTCTACGAATGGAAAAAAGTTTGCAAACTTCTGACTCTATTATTGAGATGCTGCGGTTACTTGGTGATAGAGACGCTGGCTGGCTAACCTGGAGGTACTTAGTTTGACCCTATGGTTGGCTGAGAAAGTCATGGTTCACCCTTGTCAGTGGCGCAGAATAGAGGGCATGGCGACTGGCAGTATCTGATTTTGGAGGGGACACATTAGCGTGTATGTATAAAAGAACCCTTGACAGTTGGAATTTGAAATAAAAGTAGGGCTGTAGCGCGGCTATCTAGGCAAAATTTCCTTCATATCACAATGCATGGTCTGTTTACATCATTTTATTTTTATTATTTAATAATGATAGTATGAATTTTTTTATTTTTCCAGCCATTTCTAATTGATGGTTTTAAATTTGATCTTCGTTTGTATGTTGTTGTCACATCCTGTGATCCATTACGAATATTTCTGTTTAAAGATGGTCTTGCACGATTTGCTACACACAAATATTCTGAACCTACTAATAATAATTCTGTAAGTATGATAACTTTTTAAAATAAATATCTATACAATGGGGAGTGTTGCAGAGTATTGTTTAAATATTTGAATTACAGGACAATGATTATATTATAATTACAGGACAATGTTTATATTATAATTACAGGACAATATTTATATTATGATTACAGGACACTGTTTTGTATTATAATTACAGGGCAATGTTTATATAGAGAATCTCCTACCAGTCTTTTTTGATATCAAAAAATATCAACACAAGTTGATATGCCAAGTTTTTTTTTACTTTATCAACAAGCGTTGATATTTTTTGATATCAAAAAAGACGAGTAGGAGATTTTATTTATCACTCAATCCCTTCTTACATGCACAAATAGATAAATATAATTCTTTGCTGTACTGAACATTATGGCGTAGTGATACATCATTTTTTGACAGCAATTCAACCATTGCAAAGTCCTTTATATTGACCCAGTGTTTCCATCAAGGTCAATTGAATAACAATATTTCATTTTTAATAAAAAAAAGTTACTTTTAATAAGAAATGAACTGTTCTTTGAAAATAAAAAAAAAGTAGTTCCTTTTCAACTGACCAATCAAATTCATGTAAAGCGATATCTACTGTAGAATGTATTATTGGGTGATAAATTATAATTACAGGGCAATGTTTATATTATAATTACAGGGCAATGTTTATATTATAATTACAGGACAATGTTTATATTATATATAATTATAGGACAATGTTTATATTTGAATTACAGGACAATGTTCATATTATAATTACAGGACAATGTTCATATTATTATAACAGGACAATGTTCATATTATTATAACAGGACAATGTTTATATTATAATAACAGGACAATGTTTATATTTTAATTACAGGACAATGTTTATATGCACCTCACTAACTATGCTATTAACAAACATAGTTCAGATTTTATCAAAGATGATGATGAAGCTGGTAGTAAAAGGTTTGTCAACATTTATAACATTTAATTTGATTGTTTGACATTTAATTTGATTGTTTGACATTTAATTTGTTTGGCTAAATGGCTAAAATTTAATTTAATAGGTCAAAATTTAATTTGATAGATCAAAATTTAATTTGATAGATCAAAATTTAATTGGATAGATCAAAATTTAATTTGATAAGTTAAAATTTGATTTGATAGGTCAATATTTAATTTGATTAGCTGACATTTTATTTGATTGATCAACACTTATTTTAAGGACCCTTGGCAGTTGAGATTTGATAAATGATACCTGGCTCCTAGTGTAAAAAAATGTTTAACTATAATTAAATGTTTATTTTTTTAGACGTATAACAACAATCATGAAATATTTACAAGATAAGGGTTACGATGTAGATAAATTATGGGATGATATCGATGATGTTATAACCAAAACGATGATATCGGCTCATTCTGTACTGAAACATAACTACCGCACGTGTTTCCCCAATCACGTTAAGGGAAGTGCCTGTTTTGAAATATTAGGTTTTGATATTCTTTTAGATAGAAAATTACGGCCCTTAGTTTTAGAGGTGAGTAAAGTTTTGTTTGATTTTTACGTATTATTAGACATATCATTACTCTTAAAATATGATCTTACCTTGCTTATAGGCCACTCAGACGTGAATATTTAAAATAGTTTGAAATACGCCGTGGTCTTTAAGATGGGGATAGTGTAGTGTTCTCAAATTAGTGCTGACACGATATATATTGTTGAATCGATGTATCGTGATTCACCTGAAATTCGCGTATTGAATCACAAGACACTGCATCGATGTTTCAGGATTCTTTTTTTTATTTTTTTTTTATGCTTCAGTAAGTAACCTGTCACTCTTAATTATCCATGTCACACATCATAGGTACACAAACACTCTTAAATTGTTTTGGTCCTTATTTGCCACACTTTTGCATTCAGAAAACAAAGTTAAACTGGCTTAACGACCGCCAGGGTTTTTAAAAAGTTTTCTCCACGTGAGTGGATTGGGAAAGATGTATCCAGCATGGCTTCCCTATATATATATATATATATATATATATCCTTAGTGGAGGACTAAAAGTCTGGCAAGGAAAAAGCATGGATGAGACAAAAACTCAAGGTCTAGCAGGTGTCCACGTAAAAGAACCCATGACAGTTGGCGTTAATGAAGAGTGTAAAACTTTACCAGCAAAATTTCCATCTTGTGTATGGCCGTTTTCATTAGATGTTAGAAAAGTAGAATGTTAGAAAGTAGGACGTTAAACGGTATTTTATTTGATTACAGGTAAATCATTCACCTAGTTTTAATACTGATGCCCAGATAGATAGAGATATAAAGGGCACATTAGTCTGGGATACGTTAAATATCGTTAATTTTGGTGCATGTGATAAACGTAGGTGTATTGAAGAAGAAAAGAAGAGAATAAAGGATAGATTGATGGGCAAATACACAAAAAAAGAAACAAAGTTAGTATAGTTAATATAATCAGGTAACATGTAGTTAATATTACCAGAAGGGTTGTTATAACCATGTTGTTTTATTTCTAGAGAAGGGTGTAACCATGTAGTGTTTTATTTCTAGAGAAGGGTGTAACCATGTTGTGTTTTATTTCTAAAGACGTGTGTGGGATGTTATAACCATGTTGTGTTTTATTTCTAGAGTAGAGTGTGGGATGTTATAACCATGTTGTGTTTTATTTCTAGAAAAGGGTGTGGCATGTTATAACCATGTTGTGTTTTATTTCTAGAAAAGGGTGTGGTGTGTTACATTTATAAACATGTTGTGTTTTATTTTTAGAGAAGAACTAGAAGCCGTTCAAGCCCAGTATTTAATACAACAAGAGAAATATGAAGGCCATCATTGTGGTAATCTCAGGAGGATCTATCCCAATGCTGGAAGTGAGAAATACGACAAATTCTTTCAGAGTAGTGGAACCTTATTTCAGGAAACGGCAGCATTTAAAGCCAGATCAGAAATGGCCAGGTAATATTCTCTCATCATATTGTTTGTGAAGTTTATCTTTCCAGTACATGACGAAGAGCTACGCCGCTACGGTGACTCAGTTCAGTATGTAAAGCGCTAGCTTGCTCACCAGGGAATCCCCAGTTTGTTCCCTCAGGGCGAGGGGCTGGCACACTGCATGGCCCATCTTCATTCAATCTGATTAAAACATAGATCTATATTTCATTTTGTTTTTTTTATACTTTCAACGGCCTACACTACATGAAGATCTGACCGGTTGTAGTAAAAGGTTGCGTCAGAGGTTGTACGAAAGGGTTTTGAACCCTATGAGTATGACGTCAGATATTGATTGATCAATCGGCGTTGACGTGTCTAGTGTTTTATCCACAGTTCGGTGCATCGCATGCCAAGAAGTCGCCATAACAGATGGTTTCATTGGCTAATTCCTCATGCCATCCAGAATGCAGATTATATAACAACTCTTCCAAATCCTAGTGTAGTACAGAGAAATAAAACAAAATATTGAAATATAAGTAACGAAACAAAATAGGATCTGTGTTTTAATCAGATTGATCTTCATTATGCCCGGTTTGTGCAGAAAAATAGGAATTGAATAATTCTTGGACTGATATTCTTTTTTGAAATTCAACTATCACAATGTTGTTTGCAAGGAATTATCTAGCACTAAAATCATACATAGAGTCTTTAAACTTAATGGTGCCACAGTGGCACAGTGAGTAAGACATTGGCTTGCTAACCTGGAGAACCTCTGTTGATCCTTGCGATAACCAAGAAAGTTCAACTTGTTAGTGGTGCAGGACAGGGGCCTGGCAAGGGACAACATATAGTCGTTCGAATTGGACGCAAAACTGAGGTCCTGTGTACACATTGGTGTGCACGTAAAAGAGGTCTTGACAGTTCAATATAAGGGTATGCCGTAGCACCACTGTCCGGGTACAATTGCTCTCATAGCACACTGTATGGCGTATACCTGTCTTCACTAGCTCAGTTGGAGCAGAACAGTAGGACGATAAACCTCACCTCATTTCATTTTAAACTTAAATAAGCATTATGTAAAATTTAGATAAAAAGCTGGATGTTCTTGCTATAGTAGTTCAAAAATAGAAATGCAAAATGAATATATTGAAAATTTCATTGAAATTTCTTTATTCTGAGTGAATGTATTAGCCTTTGAAAGTTTGACAAGATGTGTGCATTAACTGTAACCACTGTACTGGTTGTTTGAAGCTTAGCCACACATCTCCTTTTTAAAATTAAATCATTAAATGGCTGAACCGTTCTAATCTACTTAATATCGGAGACATTCGATGGCATCAATAATTCATTATGGTCTTGTCATGTTAATAAATGTCTATTTTAAATTAATACTTTATATAATAAGTCTTAAAGAACGACCTGCTATAGACAGAATTAGCTCTTGCATAATGCCTGTTTCATCATTAAATTTCTAGACAACAGCGAGAAGAAATCTTGCGTAAGAAAGAGAAACAGGATGCCATCATGAAAGGTAAAAAGAAAGATGGTTTACGACCAGAAAGTCCAACAGCTAGAAAGAGACGAACCTTAAGAAGAACAACAATGCCATCAAGAAAACTAAATGTTTCTCGCCTTAATGGAGACGTATGTATTGTTACTTTATTTTACTATAGTACATTTTGTTTTTCACCGTGGTAGGTCGGTGGTCTAACATTAGTTCAATGAGTCAAGTGGAGTAGTTAACATTCACAGCTTATATAGGGCCTCAAGATTTAGGTGTCCTCCTGCATAGATGTATTTTTCACATGGACCGTAGTCTTAAACATCTGTCATCATCACAGCTTTTCATTTCATCTGCCTCTAGTCGTGAGGGTAGGGGATTGGGTGGTTCCTCATAAGCCACTGTAGAATAGCCTATAGGGTATAAAACTGACGTACTGTGTACACGTTTGCGTGCATAGTAAAGGAACCCCTGACAGATGGAATTTGAAACTAGATAGGCCGTAGTGGTGATGTCCCAACAAAATTTACCTCATAGCACATTGCAAGGCATATGTCCGTCTTCATTAGCCCAGTTCATACAGAACAGTAGGACGTTAAACCCATTTCATTTCATTTCTTCCCGAAACATCACGTTGATCTATATTTGAACTAGTTGGTGCAGAAAATCGGGTGTCCAATCCCATTTCATTTATATTTGAACCATCTTGCTTTAGTGTGATTATGGTATATTTTAAATATTTTTTATGTCAAATTTTTGGTAATGATAGTGGAGCTGAATCATCTGGCTTTAGCGTGTTTATATTTGAACCATCTGGCTTTAGTGTGTTTATATTTTAAATATTTTTTATGTCAGATTTTTGGTAATGATAGTAGAGCCGAATCATCGGAAGATATCATCGATACGAAACATCCCATGGATATACTAGAAGAGGAGGAATTAGAGAGGATTAGTGGATTATTACAGCGAGATAATCTGGTGCGTGGATTAGGTATCGTGGAGCATGTCTATCGATTGTTGCACTGTACACCAGGTACTATGGGGGCACTCAAATCTGACGCTAGAACCTTGTCCGGGCCAATGGTAAGTTGTTAGTTTAGTTTCACTACCTAGACAGATTAATAGAAAAATGATTGTTTGGGTCAGTGATCAGCACCTTCTTTAGCTAAGAATGTTTGAAGGAAATAGTCCTGGTAAGGTTCCATCCAACACTTTAACTACTGTGTTTGCAGGAAATAGTCCTGATAAGGTTCCATCCAACACTTTAACTACTGTGTTTGCAGGAAATAGTCCTGATAAGGTTCCATCCAACACTTTAACTACTGTGTTTGCAAGAAAAAGTCCTGATAAGGTTCCATCAAACACTTGAACTACTGTGTTTGAAGGAAAGAGTCCTGATAAGGTTCCATCAAACACTTGAACTACTGTGTTTGGTCCTCCCATTTTTATTAATAAGCTGAATCTCAATGATGACTGGCTCTTTTGGCAATGATTCTTTGTTACAGATACTCCAATGCCTTCTTTAGCTAAGATCTTTGTGAAGGTTAGACATGGTTTAATACAAACCTAGACAGATTAATAGGTTTTAGATATTTTAGACATAGTTTGATACAACTTAAATACCAAAAATAGTGAATGACTTTTAGGTATTGTTATTCTGATATATCAGTATCCAGCCAGTAATTTGTTATTCTGATATATCAGTATCCAGCCAGTAATTTGTTATTCTGAGATATCAGTCATTTGTTATTCTGAAATATCAGTTTAATCAATCAAATGGTGTCAGTCATTTTGTCTTGCACGAAGTTAAATATGTCAGGTAGTGGTTCATTATTAGCGCCCAACATTTCGTCAGGCCAAACTAAAATTGTTGTTTTAAGATTTGTGACATTAATCCCCATAAAGGAACGAATAAATAAAATGTTTGAAATAAGATGTAAGAAAGATAAGCTATTGAGGATCTAACAAATTGATATACTTCACTATATGTCTATAAAACGATTGATATAATGAAATGTGTGATATAAGCTAAAGAATGAGTTGAGTATCTGACCCAGAAATATACATCGATGTATCTATTACCATTATATATTATAAATAATTCAATTACATAGTTTATATAATTTATAAAGTATGATAAATATATAGACATTAGCTAAAGAACTAGTTGAGTATCTGATCCATAGATATAGTAAATATATAATGTATGATAAATAACTGAATGACATAGTAAATATATAATGTATGATATATAATATTGTATGTTTAAATGTAGTTGAATATCTGAATGTTTTTATGTTTAATTTACTGCACTTTTAATAACTTCACCAGCACCCCAATTACACACATAATTTAATGCATGCCTTTTATATAAATCAGTGGTTCCCAACCTTTTCTACTCGCTGACCCCTTGGGACAAACCTCTGAGAACCCTTTATTTTTAGACTATTCAGTTAGGTTAACCATGTTAGGAAAATTAGGGCCTGTGGCACCCCATTTTCACATACATTCCTGATAATTCCTAACATTGGTCGTCGGAAACAAAACGTCATAGTTTCTGTTTGTATACAATTCACACTTCGTCTGATCAAATACATGCTACATAAACATACAACTAGATGATTGCTATTCATGTTTTTACCCATGAGTTGTGGAAGGCTTTAAACCAATATATAAATTTAGTCTGTTTGTTTCACGGACCTCCTTTTTGAATCCCATGATCACCCCTGGACACAGACCACCAGGATGGGAAACACTGATAGACCACAGTTGTTATATGCCCACATTTTGTTTTTTGTCCTATTTTGACAAAACTTAAATTATAGGTTTGCATCCCAAAGATCTTGGTTCCTTGTGATATTAGCACATATCTGATCGTAACTTCCTGGATTATGGCCCCTGATTGTACTCAGAATCGCTTTTCTAGCTTGTTCTCTGTCCACTTCTTGTAAAATGTGGGCATGCAACCGCTTGTTATAGTAGATATAGAGCTTTTATATGATATCTTTTTAGAGGATTTTGTGTGTTTACAATAAGAGATGACCGTTACCATGGTAATTTTGTACATTTTTCAAACCTGGTTAATTGCTGCAGGGCTGACCACGAAAATGTGTGTAGTCATTCAGATATCTCTAGAGCCTAACTCACTGTACCATTGTGGCCTTACCTCGTATTGTAAACACTCTTCAACCTTTTCCTAGTAGAGTATCATGCATGCACACTAGATATATTAATCCTTTATTTATGTTATTTTTATTTTCTTCTCTTTTCTTAACCTTTCTACGCACCTTGTATAGGATTTTTATCAACGAAGTAATATTTCCAGTAGAATGGGAGAAGCCTTCTTGAGTGGTAGACCGCCTGCAATTCGGATCAAAGATCGGCAATATTATAAAAAGTTGTTGGATCGTTATTTCGGCAATAATCATGTTTTATCTAACGATAGCGTGACATTGAAATACGAACGCAGCTTTCGTAACATAAAATGTGGCTCACCTGGATATTCAGGTCTGTCACGAAGTCAGAAAGACATCGCCACATACTTCCCCAATGTTCGCTTGTCGTATTCATCAGCCAAAGAGAATAAACTGCTGTCTATGGATTTAGATAAATGTGAAGATTTGGAAAACGAGAGTTTTTTACCTGAGAGTAACAGTCTAAATGAGGTGCGTACTGGTATTGTGGTTTGCGGTGATCTTACTCATGGCAAAACTTGAATTCAACTGAAGTGTGCTGTTTGAAATGATGTGCTTCGTGCTCAATCCCAAATTCTACATACTCTTAACGTTTTGATGATTAACATTGATTTTTTTAAAAAATATTTATGACATTAAAAAGATGAGCAAAATGATGGTAAACTGACCAACCATTTTTACGTAACTTTTACGTAAATATATTTAACATCATGATGTTATGTGGGATGCTGTTGAAATCATGTGATTCTTTCTTATAACGAAACTAAAAAAAAAAAAAATTGCTACATACTTTAACGCCTTCTATAATTAATTTTGATCTTTTTTATAAAAAAAATTTTAACATGCGTTTCGTTTGTAGTTTTTAACAATAGAAAATAGTTTTGATTGAAGAGATCAGGTTTATTTTAAGTGTTTTTCTATTTCTAATGTTTAGTTTAACCATTCTGGATAAATTTGTGGAGATATTTTTGGTAGTCATAGTGAATTGATTTACTCCATTTTAGAATTCCTTGTCCCTGTATTTTTTATATGGTTGATGGTATAGTTTTTATAGAGTGGTTGTAGTCATGGACTTTTACCTAGATTATAGGGTCCATGTTATAGTTTTTATCTCGTAAAAACAGATTTGTTTTGGTTAGTCTCTGTTTTAGTAGTTTTTATTTTCAATTTGATTTCTGGTTTCTCGTAGATTTTATAACTTCAGTATTTCTCTTTAAAACACTTTTGAAAATATATAGCTTCTTTTACAAATCATTCACAATACAATCTACTTTTGTTTTTCTTTTGTGGTTTTTAAACTTTTCAGAGTGGTGACGAATCTGCACACAACAGTAATCAGCTAGATTCTAATTCACATCACAGCCATTTTATCACGACTAGTTCCTCTCTACCCTATAGCACGACTAACATCAGTCTAACACAAAACAATTCTAACGTTCCCACATCCATTATTAATACCGTTCCCGCTAATACCATGCCGTTCGGCGCCGCTATACAATCTTATAGTAAATTATCTAATAGTAATTATGCTAGCATCCCTTTTCTTCCATTCTCTATACCACTTCCTACCATTTCTACATTCTCCGCTTCAAATCGGCAAAATGCTCAGTCATTAAATCAGTTGTCGTCTAACCCTCAGTATAATAATGGTAGCACCCGATGGCATAAAACAGGTAACCTGACCAACCTAATAGATCGTTCGACATTAAGTCTACAGGTATGTTGTATAAAGGTATAGATTAGTCGTAGATGTGCAGTTTTTTAATTGTTTCACTTCTGTAGATGTGTTTTTTTAGTTCCTCCACTCAGTGGTGTGCAGAGGTTTGGTGATGCCTGGGTCCATTTCCGTGATTGGATCACCACCCCACCCTCTACCCCATGGATGCCTGTGTCCATTTGCCATCTACTTCCCTGCAAACCACAGCCCCCACCAATTTACCCTTAGTATGAAAATCAAACCATCAAATTCCAAGTTGGATTATAGTTAAATTTCATGACATTTTAGAGTACTATATGTACCAGAATACATAATGCATAGCTAGATCGAGTTAACGTTTCATATGTTTCACAGTACTAGGATCTCCATGATCTAACTTGTAGTCTCAAGGTTTTACAATACTAGGATCTCCAGAATCTGACATGTTTCACAGTACTACGTCTCAAGGATCTCCAGGGTCTAACATGTTTAACGGTACTAGGTCTCAAGGGTCTCCAGGGTCTAACATGTTTAACAGTACTAGGTCTCAAGGGTCTAACATGTTTCACAGTACTAGGTCTCAAAGATCTCCAGGGTCTAACATGTTTAACAGTACTAGGTCTCAAGGACCTCCAGGGTTTAACATATTTCACAGTACTAGGTCTCAAGGATCTCCAGGTTTAACATATTTAACAGTACTAGGTCTCAAGGATCTCTAGGGTTTAACATGTTTAACAGTACTAGGTCTCAAGGATCTCCAAGGTCTAACATGTTTAACAGTACTAGGTCTCAAGGATCTCCAGGGTTTAACATATTTCACAGTACTAGGTCTCAAGGATCTCCAGGGTTTAACATGTTTCACAGTACTACGTCTCAAGGATCTCCAGGGTTTAACATGTTTAACAGTACTCGGTCTCAAGGATGTCTAGGGTTTAACATATTTCACAGTACTAGGTCTCCAGTGTCTCCGGGGTCTAACACGTTTAACAGTACTAGGTGTCAAGGATCTCCAAGGTCTAACATGTTTAACAGTACTAGGTCTCAAGGGTCTCCAGGGTTTAACATGTTTAACAGTACTAGGTCTCAAGGGTCTCCAGGGTTTAACATGTTTAACAGTACTAGGTCTCAAGGATCTTCAAGGTCTAACATGTTTAACAGTACAAGGTCTCAAGGGTCTCCAGGGTTTAACATGGTTAACAGTACTAGGTCTCAAGGGTCTCCAGGGTATAACATGTTTAGCAGTATTGGGTCTAACATGTTTAACAGTACTAGGTCTCAAGGGTCTAACATGTTTCACAGTACTAGGTCTCAAAGATCTCCAGGGTCTAACATGTTTAACAGTACTAGGTCTCAAGGGTCTCCAGGGTATAACATGTTTAACAGTACTAGGTCTCAAGGATCTCCAAGGTCTAACATGTTTAACAGTACTAGGTCTCAAGGGTCTCCAGGGTATAACATGTTTAACAGTACTAGGTCTCAAGGATCTCCAAGGTCTAACATGTTTAACAGTACTAGGTCTCAAGGGTCTCCAGGGTTTAACATGTTTCACAGTACTAGGTCTCGAAGGTTCAACGTATTTCACAGTACTAGATCTCTAGGGTCTGCGGGGTTTAACATATGAGAGAATCTAAACTTTACCCCTGCACTTCGGGAATCAGATCGGGGTCTCTGCGGCACGAATAGCGGCCATGCCGGAGTAAAATGAATTAAATACATATTTACGGGCCTGATTGTACTTGAATTGACTATTTTCGAAGATTGTCTCCCCTAAGAAGAAGAACCAGTTCCTGGTCCAAAAACATCTTTTCACTCTCAGTAAACGTAAACTTAGAGTAGTCTTTATCTCGTCTACATGTATCAGCTTATATTATTATTTTTTATCTTCATGTATTTTTTGTCCAATGTCTACTTTATGCGGCTGAATCCAAGCAAAAATGTACTCACATTAAATCATTTAAACATGCATTATGCAAGAGCTAAATCTGCCTATTGCAGATCTTTCTTTGGGCCTGAAATTAGACATTAATTTATTTATCCAGACCTGAATCAACTCTCGATGCCATCACTAGCTTGCGATATTTACTGAATTTGAATACATTTTGTGATGAATAATCTAACGTAAAAATGGATAATCGAGACTTACTTTGTTATGATACCAACATCAGTAATGACGACCAGGACTAGCTTAGAATTCAATGGCTAATATGTTATTCAACCTCGTGGGTTTTCTCCGGGTCCTCCGATTTCCTAACACTGCTAAAGACCCCTACGCACAAGCAAGTTATTGAAATAAAATTAAACCTTATGTTAGTGCCAAAATGATCTAGTTTGTGTCGAGTGGATGTTAAACACCATCTCTCTCTCTCTCTCTCTCTCTCTCAATCAGATTAAAAAGAGGCCCATCAAAAGATTTTATTCAACAATTATACCATATATAGTGCAATCTGATTAAAACACAGATCCAATTTCGTTTCGTTTTTATAGTTCAAAATTTCGTTTTACTTGTCTTTACTACACTTGGATCTGGAAGCATTGTTATTTAACTCGTGTTCTGCTTGAAATGAGGGGTCAGCCAATCAAATGGTCTGTTGAATCGAGCGTTTGACCTTTTTTGTGCAGGACTGTGGGTAGACATTAGCGGCAATAGAAATCAAAACAAAGCAAAAGTAGATAAAAAATACATGGCGGTCGCTAATTGGTTAATCGAATGACTGACGTAATCAGGTCAAATGTTGCTTGCTTGGTACCTGACGTCATAGAACGTGAACTCCCACTATATTTTGTTAGATCTACATGTAGTTTAGGCCATCGAAAGTATAAAAAACGAAACAAAATATAGATCTATATTTTAACTAGATTGTATAGTTAATGTGTTATGGCGTCTAAGTGGAATAGACTACAGTGTCTTTCTTCTTCTAAATTTAGCACTGGTGTGAAAGTTTCTGTATGTGTCTTTTCAAACTATAATGCACTTGTGAATTGGTTAAAAAGAGAGAATTTTTATACGTCCACATTCATAGATCTATATTTTAACTAGATTGTATAGTTAATGTGTTATGGCGTCTAAGTGGAATAGACTACAGTGTCTTTCTTCTTCTAAATTTAGCACTGGTGTGAAAGTTTCTGTATGTGTCTTTTCAAACTATAATGCACTTGTGAATTGGTTAAAAAGAGAGAATTTTTATACGTCCACATTCATAATGTGAACGTATTATGCCGTCGCCCCTGTCTGTGTGTGTGTGTGTGTGTATGTATGTGTGTGTGTGTGTGTGTGTGTGTGTGTGTGTGTGTGTCTGTGGTTCGCCTACAGGGCGCAATTCTTCATGGATTTTCTTCAAACTTGGTATACTTATTCCTTATACCCCAAGGAAGATCCCTATTGTTTTTGGTGCATGCCCGACCCCCCGGGGCAGAGCCACGCCCATTTCTAGTATTTGTTTGTTTGTCGTCTACAGGCCACATTTCTTAACTAATAATCTTGAAACTTTGCATACACATTCTTTGTACCCTAAGGAACATCCCTATCGTTTGGGGTGCATGCCCAACCCCCAGGGGCAGAGCCACGCCCATTTTCTTTTCGTGTGTCTTTGTGTCGCCTACAGGGCGCAATTCTTACTGGATTTTCTTCAAACTTGGTATACTTATTCCTTATACCCCAAGGAAGATCCCTATTGTTTTTGGTGCATGCCCGACCCCCAGGGGCAGAGCCACGCCCATTTTTTGTATTTGTCGTCTACAGGCCACATTTCTCAACGTATCATCTTGAAACTATGCATACTTATTCTTTGGACCCTAAGGAACATCCCTATCGTTTGGGGTGCATGCCCGAACCCCAGGGGCAGAGCCATGCCCATTTTCTTTTCTTTTTATGTCTGTGTATCACTAACAGGCCACAATTCTTAATCAATCGTCTTGAAAAATTTTCATATGAATTGCTTATACCCTAACGATGATCCCTATTGTTTTTGGTGCATGCCCGACCGCCAGGGGCAAAGCCACGCCCATTCCTTATATTTATTTATTTGTTTGTCATCTACAGATCGCATTCCTTATCCTATCACCTTGAAACTTAGCATACACATTACTTCTATCTTAAGGAACACCCAACCCCCAGGGGCAGAGCTACGCCCATTTTCTTTTTTTTATGTCTGTGTGTCTCTTGCAGACCGCATTTCTTAATCGATCATCTTGAAAACTTTTTTATACTTATTCCTTATAGCCCAAGGCTACTTTTTTATACTTATTCCTTAATCCTAAGACTGACCTCTATTATTATTTTTGGTGCATGCTCGACCCCTTGGGACAGAGCCACGCCTAATGTTTGTGTGTCTTGTGTTTTGCCTACAGGCCGCAATTCTTAACAGATCCTTTTGAAACTTTGCATACCTATTCGAAACGTCATGCTTTTAGAATAAAGACATCGATTGTTTTACCCGTCTTCATTAGCCCAGGTTAGGAGGAGAACAGTAGGACGTTAAACTCCATTTCATTTCATTTCATTTCGATTGTTTTAAAATAAAAATTGTGTTCTGTTAATGTGAACGAAATGTTAAACTGATAGCAGTCCTACAACCCAGTTTTATTTCACAGACCCTCAATGCAAACTGGACCATATCAAACAAAACAGGAATGTGGACGTATATTGCTGCGTTAGCGATGCTCTTGTTCACTTTATGATTTAAATTTAGATATGTCTTAGACTTTATCCAGGTATTGTTGCTTTGTATTATAATGATAATTGTATTGTATAATAATATCATTAACTATCTTGCTGTTTTCTATCAAACATATAACTATTGTAAGGTATATTGCATGAGTTAAACTATATCTAATTGCATGAAAAGTTAAATATATAAATAGCTAATAGCTTAAATATATCAAATAACAATTACAAACTTTAGATATATAAAACTATGTATTTCATATCATATACAAATATATTTATTGTTCAGGTATATTTATTAACACCTGTACACATTTATTACCCAATATTTAACTTATTTGTTTTATTTAGAGAAGTAAATTCCAGAAGAAACCTGTTGGTAGTGGTAGAAGTGGCCCTGTAACCGTGGTACCGGAACCAGATTATCGTAATTTTTTAGATACTGAGATGGAGAAGAGTCATATATTAGTTAAAAGTAGCAATGATTGGAGAAATGATTTAGTTACACCCACACAGAAAAATAGAGTAGTCAGTGCTCATAGTAAACGAGATTCAGGTATTTATTTGAAATGTCCCTGAGTAATAAACAGTAATTTTAACTGCGTGGTTTGGAATTCCCGTTTGTACGTGATAAGGAGTAGGCTAAAAGACCCCTACGCGCAAGCAAATTATAGAAATAAAATTGAACCACATGTAAGTCCCAAAATGACCTAGTTTGTGTCGAGTAGACTTTAAACATCATTTCTCTCTCTCTTTTAATGTCTCTCAGTAATAAACAGTAATTTTATTCCGTAGAATTGTATCCTGTATATTTGATAATGTCTAGAGAATGCTAAACGTCTTTCAGTAGGATGTTAAACCCTATTTCATTTTCTTGTCTGTGGTGCCGGGTGAAGAGTCCTTGAGAAACGCCACTGCCTTCATATTAGTTTCAAATCTGTGAACATGGATTCGATCTCAGGCATATGTATACAGGGATGTGCCTACTATTACAATTACCGGGCGGCACCGCCCGGCACGAATATTGTCCGCCCGGCAAAAATATCTTGACGCAGATTTCCGCCCACCTCCATTTTCTTGTAAAGAAAGATAATCTAAATTGGTAAAAGCGTTTTTATTTGTTGCTTTTAACCTCATAAATTGAATTAATTATTTTGACTTGCGTCAAACTGACCTCGTATCATAGACATCTAAATATAACGTTCGTTTTCGACGAAATATATTACTTTCCATTTCTTATTTGACGCGCAGAGTTATCTGATATTTAGACTCTTTTTAACTGGTCACATCAGTGCGATGTAACTAACATGACTGGTTAAACTAGCCTACAGCACCGTTATTGTTTAAAAATAGCACTAGCAGATGACTATTTTTGCTATTTAAACTATTTTTATAGATTCGTGCAATTCTATAATTCGTATCCACGTAAATTCAACCAAGTATAAGTATCATGGTACCAAACTTGCGTTGTAAATGAATACTTTGCCGTTGGAATTTCTTTCTATAACGTTCCGTCTAAAAATTATATTATATTAATTTATATGATATATTTTCCCGACCTAATTATTTGATTTGATCATATTTTCCAGTAAATTATTCATAGCCGTTATTTCTGGAAATTGTTTTGAACTTTTTAAATGATTAAATAAACCAGTCAACGAGCTGTGTGCATCTCCATTCCATTCACCAGCATGTGACGTTACGGTAGAATTAGGTCAGATGACTTGGGGGAATACGTGTTTTATTTATTTAGATATAAATACTTCATAATGCTATAAACTAGTGACAAACAGGTGAAAACATGCGTAGATGGTCAGTGTGAAATTCATAATTGTTACAAAATTGGCTGCTAGTGCTACCTGACTTCCAACCATTTGAGTAGGCGTACGACGACAATGGACCGTATACGTTCCATGGTACGACTGAACGAATGCCGACTTGTGTTTTCGATAGAAAAATACAGTCACGAGAACTGAGGAAAGAAACAAAACAATAATTAATAAATTCCTATTTTCGATTATGCCGTGGATTACGCAGGTATACAATGGTGGTTTCAGTGTCAACATTGGCAAATTGCCGTCGTCATATTCTTAAATAAATTACCACGGTAAAGATGCCGCCCGTAGTTCTTATTTATTTTCTACGGTAATTTCACTAAATACTACGGCGAGGTGCCGTTGTGAATTTTGACCCCTGGACTCGTGAAAATGCGCATTTTCGATCAAAAACACCCAATAATTTTCAGCCGAAGATTACCGCCCGGCATGAATATTTTTCTGGGCATATCCCTGCGTATATATGACAAGGAGTAGAGTCCTCTACCTAACCTCGTGGGTTGTCTCCGGGTCCTCTCCAGTTCCCGGGGGGTTGGATGGCTGAATGGTTAGCGCGCGCGCTGTATCATAAAGTCTGTCATTGAGTCGACTGGCGTGGTTTCGAATCCCCGGTTGTACGTGGCAAGGAGTAGGGTCGCCTGTCCAACCTCGTGGGTTTTCTCCGGGTCCTCCGGTTTCCTCCCACTGCTAAAGACCCCTACGCGCAAGCGAATTATGTAAATAAAATTAAACCAAATGTTAGTCCCGAAATGACCTAGTTTGTGTCGAGTGGACGTTAAACCCCATTTCTCTCTCTCTCTCTCTCTCCAGTTCCCTACCACTTTTAATGTTCCCTACATGGCAACACTTAGTATCTCAGAATGACCTGACTAATGTTGATTCTCTCCCTTCCCTTGATTATCAGGTTATTTCTAAACGGAAGTCATTATTGGATACATTCAAACAATTTTGGAGGATGTATCAGTTTGTTTGGTATTTAGTAAATCTTATATAACATGTTTTTTTTTTACATTCAATCTTTCAGAGTTACCACGATTTTCTCCACATCTTGCCTCACATGGTTTATCCGTTGTTTCTGCTCCCGCACCAGTTGTACAGAGACCAGATCTGGCGGTACGACAAGATCTCTCGTCTCCACACAGCGCTTTAAGTCGTATTTCGTCACAACATTCCGTCAATGAAAGCCCCACCAGATCCACAAAATCCCAGCGTATTCGAGGGGCGTCGAACAATCTTCGCTTGAGACAAATGGAAATGAGAGAAAATCACGCCTTCGTCTACAGCTGATTTATCGTAAATTAATATAAATGAAGTTTTAAAGATACATTATGTAAGATTTCGATAAAAACCTGATTGTTCTCACTATATTAGTTAAAAAATAGATAATAAAAATGGAATATGTTGAAAATTTCAGTAAAATTATTTTATTCTGAGCGGAGTTATTGCTGTTTGAAAAACAGTGTAGTCTAGATTGTCATTGCTACCTTTGTTACGATAATAAACAGAGTCTTGATTAACCATTTTTTAATTAAATTATTAACTAACAATCGTGTTTAAATCTGTGATCTGGAGTGTTGATTATGGGCTTGGCATGTGAATAAATGTCTAATTAATGATATATATAACATTTGTGATCAAAAAAAAGATCTGCAATAGTCAGATTTAGCTCTTACATAATGCATCTTTAATATATTAAGTTTTAAGGCTAAACCAATTTCATTTAGGTTTCTTCAAGATTTTGATAATAAATTGTCACTTGAGTCTCATTATCAATGATTTGTTTAGAATTTCAAATTCTAAAAATTTGAACTAAAAGCTAAATAATTCTTTCAAGAAGAAAAATTTTAATATGTTTTCCTGAAGAACAAATAATGAATTTGTTGTGGTCTAATCCAGATTTTGAAGCTCATTTGTAAATATTTCCCACGATATTACAAAACATGTACTGGTATGTTATAAAAATTTAGAATGAGCATGACCACTTGTGTATGGTTGCTCTCTCGGGGGGATTATTGTAGATAGAAGATTTTCAAGATCATTTGTAAATATTTTCCACGATATACAAAAGATGTACGTTATTAAATGTTGAATGGGCATGGCTTTTTCTGCTCCGTCGGGTGTATTTGTTGTAGATAGATTATATCTAATTATTTTTAACATATATGGATGCAAGTAATGTGATAATATTTAAAAGGAGCTAAACCTCTTGGATTTAGGTCAAAATTTATTATTTAGTTTCATTTATATCACTTAATCTCTAAATTTAAAGGAGCTAAACCTCTTGGATTTGGGTCAAAATTTATTATTTAATTTTATTTATATCACTTAATATTAAAATTTAAAGGAGCTAAACCTCTTGGATTTGGGTCAAAATTTATTATTTGATTTATTTATATCACTTAATATTAAAATTTAAAGGAGCTAAACCCTGAAGTGGGGTTATAATGGTATTTAAAGGAGCTAAATTAATTTGATCTAGGTCAAAATTATGTATTAAATTGGGTTGATTTATATAACTTAATATTTAAATTTAAAGGAGCTAAATCCTGAAGTGGGGTTATAATGGTATTTAAAGGAGCTAAATCTATTAGATCTGAGCCAAAATAATGTATTAAATTGGGTTGATGGAATGTGTTATTTTGATTAGTGATGGAGAAAACTTGGAAGATTAGATTTTGTGTCGGGAGATTAAGCGGCAGTCAGCTTTTATTTACACTTTTGACGGCTGAACATAAAATCTATTATATCTCAACACTGGTTTTATCTACAGACGTTAAAATTGATTAAGACAGATTGTCATCAAACAAAACAAATCGACACAAAAAAAAAATGGATAATTATTTTTTGTACCCAGATCAATGTGATCTAGCTATATCATGGACCCTTTATTAGATCTATTCTAGGGTCCATGGCCATATTAAGATTATCGACACAGATGCGTCAGATTATATTTTTGCCAAATGAATTTCTCTCAGTATTTCTAATGGTATCACGGAACAGGTTCTTTTTAATTTCATGGATATTTTGCATTCCAGAGATAATTTTATTATATTTAACCAGTAAATAATTCCATCATACTTCAGTATTAATGTATAATTAATTTGTTAATGAAATTAAATGAAATGTGGTTTAACATCCCACTGAATTTGTTAATAGTCTCAAAAAGATATTTTGCATTCCAGAGATAAATTATATATTTAATAAGTTGATAATTCCATCATATTTCAGTATTATATAAAGTTTATGACGGCCTTCCAAGCGGGGAATCTGTTTTAAAATTTTGCTCATCAGACATTTTTAATTGGGTTTGATAATGGCCAGAATTAGGTCAGCATCCATTCTGTTTAGTTGACTTCAATTTCAAATATTTGTTTATGTAGCATATCGTGATCTGAATAATATTTTAAGATAAATTTTAGTGAATAAATTTGATTAATTTAATGGAAGGGAATCGTACAAATGTTTATCGAAGACCCTTGTAGTTTAAAGGAAGCCTTTCAAGATATATTTTAGTGGTTAATTAAAGGTAAGGGATTCTTATAAAGGTAGAAAATTCATAATTTGTTCAAAATTGTTCTTATCCCTTTGTAAGGAATGTTTTTACAATAAAATATGTTTTAATTATTAGAAAGATAATTATCTGATGCTCTGGGTTATGGAAGCCTTTCAAGATATATTTTAGTGGTTAATTAAAGTTAAGGGATTCTTATAAAGGTAGAAGATTTATAATTTGTTACAAAATGATCTTATCCCTTTGTAAAGAATGTTTTTACAATAATATGTTTTAATTATTAGAAAGATAATTATCTGATGCTCTGGAAGCCTTCCAAGATATATTTTAGTGAGTAAATAAATCTGGTTATGGTAATATGCGGGACTGAATCGATAGAGATATGTATCTCAGACCCATTTAACTATCTCAAGATCAGGGGCCTGTTTCAATCCAAATTTTAGTAATTTGATTGGATTTTAGTGCTTAGCCCATCAAAATTGAAGTATCTACTAAAATTTGGATTTTATCTTTAGTTAAGATTTCGAGAAACAGGGATCTGAATCCCTTGCAAACAACCATATTGTGAAAATTGATCTCTGAAAGGAATATGCTTATTTATAAAGATATACTATTAAGATATTCTTACTGTAATACATGATATAAAACCTTTTTATTTTAATTTATTCTGAAATAAGATATTAAGATATTCTTACTGTAATACATGATATAAAAACTTTTTATTTTAATTTGTTCTGAAGTGAGATATTAAGATATTCTTACTGTAATACATGATATAAAAACTTTTTATTTTAATTTGTTCTGAAGTGAGATATTCAGATATTCTTACTGTGATACATGATATAAAAACGTTTTATTTTAATTTATTCTGAAGTGAGATATAATACTATTAAGGAATTATTACTGTAATACATGGTATAAAAACGTTCTATTTTAATTTGTTCTGAAGTGAGATATTAAGATATTCTCACTGTAATACATGATATAAAAACTTTTTATTTTAATTTGTTCTGAATGAGATGATATCTGTGATATATTCTGTGATTAATGAATTAATTTATGCATGAGAATATAAATTGTGATATAAACATCAGTATTTTATTTAATGCTCATATATTTTCTATTTATACATATTTCAATGTATAAATAACTTGCCTTCATTTGTTGTAACTGTTTGTAGGCCTATTGATGAATAACAGGAGCTGAATTGTCCTCTAACAGGTACCCCATAGATCATATAAGCTCTCTCTCTCCCTCTCTCTCTCTCTCTCTCTCTCTGTATAACTTGCTTTCACTTGTAACTGTATCAAAGCCTATTGATATATAAGGGGGTGGGGGTGGGTGGAAAACCCGAATGGGCTCTCTCTCCCTCCTCAAACTTGCCTTCACTTGTTATAACTGTACCTCTAGTTATATATGACAAGGGTTAACTGAATATCTAACTTGTGAGCCTTAGAATTAGATCATAATATCTGTCATTTCTCTCCCCCAATGTATAACTAACTAGCCTTCACTTGTTATAACTGTAGGCCTAGTGATATATGACCGGTTAGCTGAATAATCTTAGATCATAATGTCCATCATTTCCCTCCCCCAATGTATAACTCGCCTTCGCTTGTTATAACTGTAAGTCTAGTGATATAGTATTCCGTCCAAATTAGTTTGTAGTACACATGTGATAAACAGCCTTAAACTGTCATACAAATATCCGTCTATCTTAACTTATTGTGGCATAGCATTCTAATACACACATAGTGTTAAGATGGCTTTCACATTATTTCATTTGGAGGTAGCTTTACCTGAGCAACAAATTATTATTCACGCTTGTCACTGTAATGGATTTGAATTCCTTTAAAGCAGATAATTGGGGAGAGTCTATGTGGATGAAAGAATCTATATGTTCATGTGCATGGTGAAAGTTGATTTGAATCTGAAGATGTTAAATGTGAACACAGTCAATGTTTGCGGAATATGTTTATACATGGATAGTTTATCCATAGTCTAAATTCAGTATTAATTTAAATACATAATATATACTGTTTTAAAATACAGATGTGATGTCATCCTTTAATGGTGGCGTACCGTTATTTGAAATAATGGTACAGGCAATGTACCAAGCGTACATTATTTATACTAGTTGAAATTTTGACCAGCGTGACATATTTTATTGCAAATCACGTGTCAGTATCTGTATTTTAAGTTGTTTAATGGTCTAGAGCTTAAGACATTGTGTAATATATTGAAACAGCAACTCGGGGCTGATGCCCCTCGTGTTGTTTCAATATATTACTTAATGTCTCGCTCTTGACCATTAAACCATATATAATTCAGTTAATCAAGGATGCCAACCATCTGGATCATTTGCCAAACGGGGCACCGTGGATGATTAGAAGTGGTACATTGCATACCTGTGATAATAATAAATTAAGGCAGTAAGCCTACTTATTATTTTTAGGGATTTTATTATTTCGTGCACATCGTTTTTAGCGTATGTTATCTTCTGTCATATTAATCTGTTTTCGGTTAAAAACTTGGTTAATGTATCAAATTAGGGAATATTGATTTTTGTTCTGCAGTCGTTCCTTAAATATACTATAGTAATTAAAATATTTTTACAAAAAGTTCTATGGCACATCTGAATTCGTATGTGAACAAATTGACACACTGTATGTAAGAAGGTTTACCTTCCCCGTCGATGGGGGGTTGGATGGCCGAATGGTTAGCACGTGCGGGCTGTATCATAAGATCTGTCATTGAGTCAATTGGTGTGGTTTTGATTCCCCGGTTGTATATGACAAGGAGTTGGGACGCCAGTCCAACCTCGTGGGTTTTTTCCGGGTCCTCTGGTTTCCTCCCACTGCTAAAGACCCCTACGCGCAAGTGAATTATTGAAATAAAATTGAACCATGTGTCAGTCCCAAAATGACCTACTTTGTGTCGAGTGGACGTTAAATCCATTTTCTCTC